ACGAGTCCTGCCATCCTCACCTGTCGCTGCTGGGCTGGCAGGTAGAGTCGGAGTGGAGCACATCTGGAGGACTCCTGATCGGGGAAGGCTGGGAGGGATGCTGCTGTCCCATCTCCTGCAGATGTAAACGAGAAGTTCAAAGGTGTCTTCAGTGTTGGATGTAGAAACCTAACTAAGTCACCTCTCTCAGCCCTCACAGGATTTCAGACAATTCCCAGGAAATGTAGAAGTTAAACTATTGGTGTTCTTTAAACATATGTATTCTGAACATGGTAGTTATTTGTAAGCAGAGCAGCCTAAGTGGAAGAGCAAAAATGTATTGCCTGGTCATGAGAAGAAAACTTACAAATTTGTAATGATAATTAAAAGAATATCACCCTTCTTTGCTTATTGGATATCGGTGCAAGACTTACAGCATTACTTCAAACTTTGCATTACTGCAAAATCACACACAAACACAATTGGTCTTATATAGGATTTTCCCCTTTTTATTGTTCAAAAATACTTGGGTATTTTTATGCTGAATTTGTCCATGTTAGGGATAACAAAGCTATTATAGAACTGAAAGAATGTTCACTTCTTTTCCCAAGTAAGACTTTACATATAAATATAACTGCTATCTTTTTGCACAGAAGATAATATATTTATTAGTCTGTGGATCTAAACAGAAAGTTAGTTTGGTGTAGTGGTTAAGGCATCAGGCTAGAAATTGGGAGACTGTGTATTTTAGTCTTGCCTTGGGCACAAAGTCAGCTGGGTGACCTTGGACAAGATACTCTCAGCCCTAAGAAGAAGGCAATGGCAGGCCACTCTGCAAAATGTTGCCAAGAAAACTACAGGGGCTTGTCCAGGCAATTGCCAGGAGTCAAGAATGAGTTAAAGACAAAAACAAAGAAAGATCAGTAAAATAAGGGTAGGCAATCTGGACTCCTCGATATCTTTTGGTTGAAAAGATATTTGCTACTGGTTTGGGGAGTTGTTTTCCAAAATATCTACGTTGTCTATCCCCCAATACACTGTTTTCAAGATTGAATGAATAAAATGAAATAGTTCATACATTAGTTATCCTGAGTTTTAGGCTGTCTAATCTTAGGATAGTTTTGACCTTAGTGCCTTGAGTCCAAATCAACACTTTGTTCATTTACTGACTGTCCCCAAAACTATGATTGGCCTCATACACTGTATTGAGTCAAAATGTGATTTGCTTGTGTTGTGAGAACTCTGCCAACTGTACTGTATTCAAACCATGCTAAAGCAAGCAGCCTTTCTATGGAGATAAGTCTTTATGGAGAGGTTCAAGAATATGCCATTCTTATATTCACTGCAGTG